AGCCTACCTCGAACAGCCCCAAGAAAAACGTGGTCCATAAATTGACATCGCGTTGGACGCCGTTCCTTACAATCTCGGTTTTAAAATTGGCGATTGAGGTGTGGTAAGCCCGTAACGCACCCACGGCTGCACCTTTCCTCTCCGGAAGTAAAGATAGCAGCGGCTTCCTGCTTAGATCAAGCGCCCCGAGGGCAATGGATGCATGATGCATGCAGGGAGAGCTTTGGAACTGCGTAATGATCGTGTCAAGGTCCAGGGGGCCTCCAAAGTTATTCCTTACCAGAAAGTCCGAGAAGAAGTGCTTTACAAATAGACCCGAGTTGCCCTCCGAGACTTTAGGGCAAAGCGCAGGGGGGGAAGTCTGTGTGGCGGGCGAGAAACAGTTCGGCCCTTTGGACGGCGCAGAGACGCCGACAAAGACTACGCCGGGCTTGGGCTGGATGGCTTGAGGGACGCATTGCTGGTTTTTCTTTATGCAATACTGACAGGGAGGACCACCTTCACACTGGGGAGGGTTAAAATCGGAGAAGGAAAGCAACAGTCTTCGCCGGAAAGCTGACCTTGATTCTGCGTCGTGTGCAGGCCCCGCACCTGGTGCGAGCAGTCCGCCGGTCGTGTGGTCCTAGAACGGCCATTTCTTTAGGTATGGTAAGATGGATGACGACTATGCTGTCCAAGAAGCGACTTGAAATGCCTCATCGTTCTCGATAACCCTTGCAAAGTGAACGGTTCAAGGAACCACTGTGGAGCCGACACGAGATATGCCAGATGCCAAGACATGCAGGGTTACCCGCCTTCCCTGAATAGGAAGTATTCGAACGCACTTTCTTGGCATACCCGTTCGGGCAAAGATGAAGTATACCATCGTGTCACGAATCAGCACAGAGAAATCACGAACGCGCACAATCATTGCCGGATCAGGTAGCATGAAGATACGTCCAGATGACACACCCCCTGCCAGGGGAGTCTCTGGGACGGAGTCGAGAATCCTATATAAGACGAGCATTTCCCTTCGATTTTCTCTTCAGCAACATAGAATCTCATATATTCTCTTTTTGAAACATAATCGTCTCCCTTGGGGCCCGCCGCCATCTTGTCAGAATGTTCCAGCCTTCTACCAAGCACCTAGTACTCGCCGCTGTCTTTACCCAGTTTCTGACAAGCATCCGCGCGCTTTCCTTCCCCGTCACAACCGGCCGCTACAACACCAGCATCGTGGCAACTCAGCTCATCGACCATGATCGCCTGGACTTCCATGGCCCAACCCCGCAGCCACGTACTCTGATGATTTCCCTCTTTCATCCCGTGCCACCGACAGAATGTTGCCCATCGTTGACTCCCTACATGGATCCTATTACCGCAGCCTTTGAGGATGCGTACTACGCAGAGGCTGGTCTGCCAGCCGGTTCCTTTGGATCACTTGCCCTTCAAACCTGTAGGCTACGACCAGAGCCGAATGCAAAGTCCGGTCGCGGGGCCAGGGCATCAACTTACCCGCTCATCCTCTTCTCACCTGGCTCTGGAAATAGTCGACTTCTGTACAGTGCCATAGCACAACAGTGGGTATTCCTGGTCTTCGGTTTCTCTCGCATGGAGATTCCTCACGCCAACAGGTCTCGCTAACTTTCGCCTTGCCACAGGTTGTCCAGCACCGGTTACATCGTCGTAACTGTCGACCATCCCTACGACGCCGGGATCGTAACGTTCCCCGACAACACTACCATCCTCGCAAACCTCACAGCCGATACCCCACCAGCAGACGACCTGACCGTCCGTGTGAGAGACGTAAGCTTCGTCCTCGACCAGCTCCGCCGTCCATCAGTCATCTCAAGGCTGATCCCAGGCCGAACCGGCGGGCTGGATACCTCTAAAGTGGGAATCTACGGTCACTCCCTCGGCGGCGCCACCGCAGCTGAGGCCATGCTTTCCGATTCCCGTTTCATTGGGGGGATCAATCTGGACGGTACATTTTTTGGCTCGGTTATTAACCAAGGACTGAAGAAGCCTTTTATGATAATGGCGCATGAAGGGAAGAATTTGACGACTGATGCGAGTTGGGGTGCTCTGTGGCCCAACCTGAAGGGCTTCAAGAGAGGGTTTATGCTGAATGCGAGTACGCATGGTACATTTACGGATCTGACGGAGGCCGCGGGATTGATTGGCCTCAGAAAGGAACACCCAACACAGGTGGGCGCGTGGTTGGGAAGACTTGATGGGGAAAGAGCCCTTCAGATTATCACTGCCTATACTAGCAAGTTCTTCGACTTTGTTTTGAAGGGGGAGAAAAGCGAGGCATTAGATCGTTTGCGCATGGAGTTTCCCGAGGTGACAGTGGGAGAAGCCTAGGGCTCGCGGCCTTATATCGGCTCTCATCATGCAACGTCGCGCCAGGGTCTTTTGCCTCTTTACCACATTTCTCGCGCCCCTCCGGGTTGATTGTTGACTTAAACCCCACTAGAAGAATATCTGCGGTGCCTAATTATGCGTTCTACTCTTGACGATCTGTAAACATTGTGAGTGTAGTACACACTATATTTCTATATCGATGTACAATGTCGGACTTTGCTTGTACAGCGTCTGAGGGAGATCGGGCGACCCTCGCGAATGTTGAAGGAGTAAACAATGAATCACCAAATCATACAATCGTATCATCTTCTCTGAAGTCATCGCATCATAGAAATCAAAAATTTCCTGGAGATCATCAAGTCTTCCGGTCTTGGTCCTTTACTATGTCAATGCCAGCTGAGGTCAGCAAAAGGTGACCCTAGACTGTGTGGCTCTGCCAACGAAACAAAGAACATCCCGGGAAACTCACTAAAGGTACATTCACTCCCGTCTGAAGTCTCAATTCATCTCTTTCTCTAACCGGTGCCAATCGATGCCTTGGACTGGGGCTCATCAAGGCCCTCCTGGGGGCGTCCCGCAACGACTGTCACCTCTCGCACCAAAATGCTCCAGTAAGAGAAAATGTTTGAAATATCATTTCATTTGGGACTAATGAAACGCAAAAGGATCTACAGGAAAAAAAAATAAAAAATAAAAAGCGTCAAAAGCCAATAGAACGTCCCTGCCAAGACAAAAGCACTCCGACAAGTAGAAAAGGCCAGGCTCACCACATTTCTCTACTCGGTATTTTATAATTCGTCATTCTTGTAATCTGAATGGCGTATTCAAGGGATTGCTCTGGACTGGATGCTCATACCGTACCAACTAATCACTCCAATCCTTACTTTCGTACTGCTCATCCAGCATTTTCACCACTGCTTATTGTTAATTTTTTAATTTATTCTTTTTAATTTGTTCTACAAGTTGCCACAACCCGATCCGTGTATCATGTCAGAATCAACGCGCTCGACATCCAACTCGTCGAGGTAATTCATCTTCGTGGGTGAATCCACCTTGAAGGGTTCGCCTGAAGGTGGGCTCTCCGATCCACCCTCATGCGTCAGCTGTATGCGGAGAGATGAAGAGCTCGATTGCGCACGGGTGGCATTATGAGATTGGAAACCAGTAGAGGGAACAATCATGTCCTACGTCCAGGGACGTTACCGTTGGCAATAACATGCCGCTGCAGTCAGCAGGGGTAGAGAATAGATACCCCAAATGATAGAGTCGTCGACCCCCTTCGATAGAACGGATCATAATTCGAAGGCTGCCGTAAGCGGGCTACGGCCCATCCTCCCAAAGGCACCTGCGCTGGAGGGATTTAGCCTGTGTCCTCACTGCAAAGGTCTAGTCGTGCAGAACGCACTGTCACCCGATCCTCTTTCTGTGTTGGGAGCAGGAAGAGTGGACCCGTCCAGACCGGATACACTAAATTATGGTGCGAAGTTCGATGCGCTTCTTGATCATGGTGCATCATAGGCGAGCAAAGGAGGCTGACAATCACTGGAGCTGCTCCACTAATCGATTGACCTTGGCCGGGAATGCGATCCACTGATTTCACACAGGGCTGCGTTAGCGCCTGGTGGGCTAATGAGCTGATGGCCCGCGCAACGATCGCAGCGGTCTCATTGCACCGTGCGTCCTTGTATCTTGCCCAGGGATTTAAGCTCCAGTCTAAAGAGTGGGAGATCGAGCATCTCCGCCAACGAGCGCTCGTGTTAACGGCACTTCGCGAAGCTCTGGATCGAGGCGGCCCTCACATCACAGACACGATCATCGCCGTGGAACCTGTTCTGGACAATCGGGCACAATATGCAATACTAACCTTTGAACCAAAATCAATCATGGATCACTGACATTGGCGGGAGTACCACAGAGGCGAAACGACTTCAGCCACATCGCCTCCCGCCACCCTCCACCTCTTCCCTCCGCTCACCATTCGGACCGGTTTCATCAATTGCGAAATCTTTACCCTCCGCACATGTTGTGGGCTATTTACGATTCCAAGTCGGCGCACTTGGCATCCATACATGGGACCAGATGCTGGGCATATTACGATCATTTGCGTGGCGGGATGCCGCTTGTGATGGGGGCTGCCTGGGACGTGTGGGAGGGTATTATGCGTTCAGACGCGGTTTAACTAGAGATGCTCGACTGCAGTTTTAGCATGCATGATTATCTCTCCGTCTCGGCTACTATAAATTCAATATACCGGTTAATTATCTGCTAAGAATTTGTTGCCAGAATTTAGGAGAGCAAGAGTTGGTGACTATAATGAGGGCCACTCTACCATATAATAGACATTACAGAACCTTCCTTAGTAGTATTATCCTCAGCACGCAATGCCACTCTTTTATAACCCTTTACCCAACTTCACTTATCACGAAAGATGGAATGACATATCGAGTATATATTGAAAATTTTGTAACCAGTCTGCCGGATGTCTCGAAATTTTTTCAAAATATGGATAGTGTTTGTAAATATAAAGTTAAACAGCACGGCCAGAAGGCCAACAAGATCTAGTAAGGTTATGAGATTTTCAACCAAAGTAAAAAGACGGCATCAACAATAGATCAGTTGAAGGAACGGGCCCGTTCATTTTAATTAATGGAATTTCCCCTGTGCGGGGATCGAACCCGCGGCCATCCCAGCCAGCCTTTAGTGAGTCCTACCACTCGGCCACCAGGGGACGCTGAAAGAAAAATCGGCCATGATAGAAACTCTTATGCACCCGCCTCGTTTCTCAAAAGAAATTATGTTGATGGCGGCACAGCTTAGTAATCACATCAGATGCTGAGGTATCGGTTCTTAGAATGTCAAGAGCACGATTTACAATACTTTCGCAGGATGCTCTTCTAGTTGCGGTCAAGGCGATATGCCGTACATGAAGATATATTTGATACTCCGGGAAAACCGGACTGCCCGCATGTTGGGAGAACCCTGTTCCTTTGCCTCCCGGTGGGCATATTTCCGCTCCACAGCTCCTCAGATATATATATCTTCGGCAGAGATGGATGTCCCACATCAATCTTGCCTAATTCCATCATTTTACAGCGCACTCGATTTGGTTCTGGCAAGGGTTACTAGGGGGGCTACTGTCTCATACGTTCTCCACGCGATTACCACGGCACCCTCTGGTCTCCCAGCATCTGGCTCATTTGCCAGCATTCTCTCGCTCTCTCCGGAATGGCTGTGGGGGATAACCTCTGGTATAATCGGGCCGATGTATTGAATTAATGTCCAGCACCTTATTTAATTGGCTGTAGCCATCGAGAGTAGAATCTGAACAACGTTCCCCACTATCCTACGTCCTTGGGCTGTGACGTATCGCCACATGGCCAGCATTGGGGAACTCGGAATATCCCCAGCCGGCTGAACTACGGGTGGTCTCTCGAGATCCACCTCAACCCGGCCTCCGATTCGGTGCTTGGTTCCGCGGGGTTTTATCGGGAACTCAACACCCAATCCCCGCTGTTGGGAAGGCGCTGCGTGAACCGTGTCTGGGGATATTAGCAGCTTGGCGGGTGCACATTGTTGCGCTATAATGCGGAGCAGCACCTTGAGCCGGGGCCACCGGTGTCTGTTTATGGGCTGATTCACGATTCCCCCGTCGAAATGTGGCCCGGGGTCACGGCCAAAGTTGACAGCCGAAGTAAGCGACCTTCCCTGTTCTCAGCACCTACAGTGGGATTGCATTGGGCTGGATGTTAAACTTTTAAGAGCCAATTGACGGGTTGTTGTATTGTGTGTTGCGACAATTGGACGGGCCCAGAGGGCCTGTAGCCGTGGGGATTCATTGGCAAAATAGTACACGGCATTGCCATGAACGCTGACGGCTTGAGGGAATACAAGATGTTGGAGCAGTCCTTAAGACCCTTGCCAATCCTCTAAACCCAGGACATGAAAAACCGCAAGTGCAGTGACTCAACTCCGTGGATAGGAGGATAGGGGGATTGGGGGATATCACGAATCCCTCACTGCCGGATGTGAAAACTTGGGGACTGTGGTGGCTGATATGGATCCGTGAGCGGTAGCCAACAGATGCACCCGTGACGGGGGACTGAGGATGTGGGGAAACTGTGGAGAGAACCAGCGTTTGCAAATGGCCGGGGGATTTTTTTGCGGAGGAGACGAGCCGTGCAGAGTATTGCCCATAATTTCCCCAGCATCTCAGAACAGAAGGTGGAAGCACCCCAGCCGGACGAACTCCGAAATCGCTCACCACGTTAGCCTTTCTTTGGGAATTGGTCCCGCACCGAGTATGAATGTATACCGTATGCTTTCAAATCAAGCTTGGAGCGAAGCCGTACTCCCGTACTCCCGTAACCCCCACGCCGACCAACGGCTGGAGACCGTGAGGGTACTGACCCCTCTCAGCAGCGGCTGGGTCAGACCTCACCCCGGCTAAACATCGGCAGCGGCTTGGATGGAGGTCGAGTGCTCCGTCATGGATCCATCTCTCATCTCGTGGTGATGCTGGGAATAGGACTGGGCCTGGGCGGGGTCGGTATGTGGCCGTCGATGATGTCTGGACAGTCGAGCCCAGTGTCCGCATCTCTCAGGAGCGAACTATAAGAAGGAGGGCCGCGCAGGCAGATTTGATGCTTGTCCGTATCATCTCCCGTGAGACATCGTGGAAGCTGTCTGTGCAGCTCATCAGGGACAATGGCACCAGTGCTGTCAACATTATTGTCGAGCTTTCTCCTCGCGAGCGCCGTGAAAGCGCAAGCGTTCGATGCTGAGCGCAGCGGAAATGCCTTCAGCTATGTCCAGCCCGCTGACACAGTCATCCTGGGTCCCTATGGGCATGTTCCGCCCACCTATCCCTCTCGTATGTTACTCTCCTCATGTCCATACCACATTCCAACCCTAGTTTTTCCTCAAACGCCGAACTAATCACATGAGATGCACAGCCAATATCACCGGTACTGGTGGATGGGAGCAGGCCGTGATCCGGGCAAAGGAGTTTGTGTCCCAATTGACCGTGGAGGAGAAGGCGGACATGGTCACGGGGACTCCGGGACCCTGTGTCGGTAACATTGTCGCGATCCCACGTCTGGGATTCAACGGCCTCTGTCTCCAAGATGGGCCGTTGGCCATACGAGTGGCCGATTACGCCAGTGTCTTTTCAGCCGGTGTGTCGGCGGCCTCGACCTGGGATCGGCAAATTCTGTATCAACGTGGTCGTGCTATGGGTGAGGAATTCAGGGGTAAAGGCGCCCACATTGCGCTATCCCCAGTCGCGGGCCCGTTGGGACGTTCCGCCTACTCCGGCCGGAACTGGGAGGGCTTCGCCGCGGATCCGTACCTGACCGGTGTGGCCATGGAGGAGACCATCGCAGGTCATCAGGCGGCCGGAGTGCAAGCGACCGCGAAGCATTTCATTGGCAACGAGCAGGAGACCCAGCGGAATCCCACCCCGGATCCAAATGGGACCGTAACAGACGTCCTGCAGGAGGCCTTGTCTGCGAACATCGATGATCGGACCATCCATGAGCTGTATCTGTGGCCGTTCGCGAACGCGGTACGTGCCAAGGCCGCCAGTTTCATGTGTGCCTACCAACGGCTCAATGGAACATACGCGTGCGAAAACTCGAAGGCGCTCAACGGTCTTCTGAAGACAGAGCTGGGCTTCCAGGGCTACGTCATGTCCGACTGGGGTGGCACGCACTCAGGTCTAGCGTCCATCGAGTCAGGGCTGGATATGAACATGCCGGGTGGGCTGGGCATGTACGGCCAGACGTATCATGTCGGCTCGTACTTCGGCGGTAATATCACCATTGCCGTAAACAATGCATCACTTCCGGTTTCCCGTCTGGACGATATGATCGTCCGGATCATGACTCCGTACTACTGGTTGGGCCAGGACAAGGACTTCCCGCCGGTGGATCCTTCCGGTGCAGACTTGAACACCTTCTCCCCCCGGTCCACCTGGGACCGCGAGTTTAACCTTACGGGCGCGCCTAGCGTTGATGTCCGTGGGAATCATGGAGAGCTGATCCGCCACCACGGTGCGGCAGCCACCATCCTGCTTAAAAACGAGAACAATGCTCTACCCCTCAAGGCTCCCAAGTCGATCGCGGTATTCGGTAATGATGCTGGTGACGACACTGAGGGATTCTACAACCAGGATGATTTCGAATATGGCACCCTCTCCGTTGGTGGTGGCTCTGGAACGGGCCGTCTCACCTACCTAGTCTCTCCACTGTCTGCGATTAATGCCCGTGCCGCAAAGGATAAGACCCTGGTCCAGCAATGGTTGAACAACACGCTGATCGCCACGTCCAATGTGACTGACCTTTGGATTCCCACCCCGCCGGAGGCCTGTCTGGTCTTTTTGAAAACGTGGGCGGAAGAGGGCCTGGATCGCGGGTCTCTCGATGTGGACTGGAACGGCAATGAGGTCGTAGAATCTGTTGCGAAGGACTGCAACAACACCATCGTCATCACTCACTCCTCTGGTATCAACGTGCTCCCATGGGCAGACCATCCCAATGTCACTGCCATTCTAGCCGCTCATTATCCAGGCCAGGAGGCTGGAAACTCCATTGTCGATGTGCTATATGGCGACGTGAATCCTTCCGGTCATCTTCCGTACACTATTGCCTTTAACGCGACTGACTATAATGCCCCACCTACCACTGCCGTGAACACCACAGGCACATACGACTGGCAATCCTGGTTCGATGAGAAACTTGAGATCGACTATCGGTACTTCGATGCCCACAACATGTCTGTCCGTTACGAATTTGGGTTTGGCCTATCTTACACAACGTTCGACCTGAAGGACATCCAGACAGAAGCACTGGTCCAGGAGATTCCCTCGACGCCAGAGGCACTCCCCATCCAGCCCGGAGGTAACCCTGCCCTATGGGATACACTGTACAATGTCACCATCAGTGTCACCAATACAGGCGATGTTGCTGGAGCTGCAGTGCCCCAGCTCTACATTTCCTTCCCTAGTAGCACTCCCTCGGGGACCCCACCAAAGCAGCTGAGGGGATTCGACAAGATATTCCTGGAGGCTGGGGAGACGAAGACGGTTGGCTTTGAATTGATGAGACGTGATATGAGCTACTGGGACATCATAAGCCAAGAATGGCTTGTCCCGGAGGGAGAGTTCACGGTTCATGTCGGGTTCAGCAGCCGGGACCTGAAGGCCTCCACTAAGCTTGCACCCATTCCTTTATAGGTGTTGGGAGCGGTCTTATAGAAAAACATCCCTCTATCTTCTAGTATATATGTTTATGATCAGCATTTGTATTAGCGAGCTTCCTTGAATGACTTGTTTCTATTGACTTCTCCCTCGAAGGAAACAATGTGATATTTCGCATTACCCTATCATTGTTCTCAAGCGCTTTCTCCGACACTGCAACCGTTCACATATTTTTTTAAAAACTTGTGATGGGACAATGAAAAATTCAAGCATGGTAGTATATACAGGACATGCTGTATGTAGGGGAGCTGACCAGTGCAATGGGAAAATGGTACTTGTGCCTGTATGATAAGACATAAAACAGCGCCACAAAAGATAACATATGACAGGGGAGAGTATTTAACGAGACATGTTCATTAAACCCAGCAAGTAAGGGGGACAACTCTACACAAAGTGATCTGTCGATGAAGAGAGAAAACTGGTGTTGGTGAGGTTGTGCTATCTCTGCCGACTCTCTGGGACGCCTCGACATA